GCACTTACCCTTTTTCGTTTTTGTTTCAAAAGTCTACAAATTTTAGCAAGCATAAGTCATATTTAGTAGCTCTTGCAAAAGGGTCGGGTTTTAAATTGGTGTATTTGAATTGGGTTTGAAGATCATGAAAGCCCGATGTGATTTAGGAGAAGGGTTGGTCTCGATACCCAGATCGGATTCAAAGGTTGGTTATTTTTCCTGCTCTTATTTTTTGGGTTATTTTAGATTGTTGGGGAGAAGCAAGTGAGTGCTAAATTGGAACAAGAACGTGACTTGGGTTCTCTTAAGTGGCTTAAAATGCGAGATCTTGAATCTGTTTGCAGGTATGAAACTATTCTTGTTGCTGTGCGGCTTCTTTTGAATTGAATTTTTTGGTGTCGGCAAGGATTGGGTTGCAGCAATGGAGGGTTGTGGAGGAATTTCCGAATTTATCCTCACTTTTGACAGAAAATTTAATAGAATTTGACAGAAGGACTAATGATGCAACAAATCACCTACTTGAGTGACATCTGCAACTAATAATTGAATTGAGTGACCAAACTGTAAATACAGGTATAGTTGAGGGACTATTGCTTAAAAAAAAGACCACCACTTGGCCCATAGCGCCCGCTTTTCCATGTGTCAAAAAAGACTCCAGTAAAGCCGTACGGCTATACTCCTAATTTTTAAAAAATTATCCCGAGTATAGCCGCGCGGCCACACTATTTATAATGGAAAGAGAGGACCCGCCTAGCGACTTGCGATTCGAAATATCCTCTACTGCGAGGATGTAGAACGAGGCACCAAGACAACCAATGGTAGACTGCCACGTTGTGAACACCCACAGTATTTTCCATTCAAGTAATGCGAGTATTACGCTGCGAAGAACACGTGGAGAACAAAACCAGTGCAGCACATAATAACCGCCACCCGCGCGTATTTTCAATTTTCCATCCATAAAAAATCTTAAAAAGAACGTTTGAGAAAGTTTGAGAACGTTCCAGATTCTCACCCCCACTATTAATTGATCGTCCGTCTTCAGCACCCCTGATTATCTTCTCCACCAATCGCAAACGAATCCAAGCTTTCTCTCTCTACATCTATCCAACTCTCTCTCTAGATCTCCGAAGATGCCGAGCAGAAACCCAGGAGTGATAACCCAGGACTGGGAGCCGGTGGTCATCCACAAGTCCAGGCCCAAGGGTCAAGACCTCCGCGACCCGAAGGCTGTGAACCAGGCGCTCCGGTCCGGCGCGCCGATCCAGACCATCAAGAAGTTCGACGCGGGCTCCAACAAGAAGGCAGCGCCGGTCGTCAGCGTGAAGAAGCTCGAGGAAGGGACCGAGCCGGCCGCGCTGGACCGGGTCTCGAGCGATGTGAGGCAGGCCATACAGAAGGCTCGTCTGGCGAAGAAGTTGAGCCAGGCCGACCTGGCCAAGCGGATCAACGAGCGGCCTCAGGTGGTTCAGGAGTACGAGAATGGCAAGGCGGTACCGAATCAGGCCGTGCTCTCTAAGATGGAGAGGGTTCTGGAAGTGAAGCTCAGGGGCAAAGTTGGCAAATAAAATTAGTACTGTGAAAAGCTAAAAACGCTGACGTCGACGTCGTTTTAGGGTGTATGTTATGAACAAAATGTTTGGTGTAATGGTTTTTGTCAGTTGTCTGTGTGTGTTGTGAGTCGAGAGAGAGGATGTACAAAGATGCAAAGGATGTATAGGCTAAATAAATTGCCAATTGATTTCATGAGATCAATGGAGTTTGATGTTGTCATTGGCGTGATATTCTGGTTTTCGTTGTTATTGCTTTGATCTGATCATCAATTTGTCCCCAATCTCATCAATTTCATAAAATACCAGGAGGCGAAGAGAGGATTTAGGTTTTGGGGTGAATTATTTTGGGCTGTCTACAAAGTCGTTCTGGAGTTTTGGGCTCAGCTTTTACCAAATTGTTTTAGTTTTGTCCAGTTTTTGAGTATATATGTGGGCTCAAAATCCAGTAAAAAAACAAAACAAAACAGCGACAACTTGTTCATGGCCCAGCTACATATAAAGGGCTTGTTTGTTGAGCTGGATCAGGATTCGGCTTAAGTTCATTTATATTCCGTTAAATAGTTGGCCCGAACCCATGTGTCCGCTTCCTAGCACCCAAAGTCGAATTCTCATTTCTCCGCTTCCTTGCACTTCAGGATGCCTAACGCATCTTTGCACTTAAGGTTGAATTCTCATTTCTCCGCTTCCCAAATTTGAATTCTCATTTTTGTCTATTAATTTAGAGTAATTATTACGGAGGCGATTAATAATTGTTCAATTTAATGAGTCATTGTCCTAGCATTGTTTGGTTTGGCAAGCCATATTAATTGGAGTTGTCCATTTGGATTGAATTTGAATTGGATTTTTCCTTCCCTAGTTTAACAGGTCTATTGTAAAGAACCCATTGACCGAGGGCAGTGGATAGATGTCATGTTACCTTCGCTGCCACAGGGCAATTTACAACCCATGTCCAATAATGATACACGTCAAACTCCAACTTGTGTATTTTGCATCACAAACAACAGAAACAAAAGATAATATACAATCTGACATTTCCATTCCCTCATAAAAATACAGAGATATATATATATATATATATATATATAAAAGTTAGTAGTTTATTGCATTATTCAAGTTGCTACAAATGATGTGATTTCCCAATCATCTGGCAACTTGCAGAGTGTGATAATTTAGAGCCAGGGAGAGTTGTAAATGGGAGTGACGACAGATTTGGTGTGGAGATACTTGTGGAGGGCTTCCAAGCCAAAGTCTCTGCCGAAGCCACTCATCTTATATCCTCCATAAGGGCAGTCTAGATCGAAAGCAAAGTAGCAATTGATCCATATAACGCCAGCACGAATTGACCTCGAGACGGTGTTGGCCACATTCAAGTCCTTGGTTATAATCCCTGCTGCTAGCCCATATTTTGTGTTGTTGGCTCTCTGTATTGCCTCCTCAATGGTCCTACAATATTTGCTCATATCAAAACACGAGTAAAACAATGTTCGAATCTGAGGTCCCGTGTTCAAATCCCCCTTCCCCAATATTGCTTGGATTAATTGAACAACAAAATAAATGAGAGTTGAGAGCTGCACTTACTTGAATTTCATCAGCGCCATCACCGGCCCGAATATTTCATCCTTGGCTATAAGCATGTCGTCCTGAGCAAATTGTTATTAGATCAAAGAGATGAGAAAAATTATGTCAAGACCTTTTTAATCATATCAGATAGCATTTCTGAAGTTGAAGATGTACCTTGACATCAGTGAATATTGTTGGCTCAATGTAATATCCCTTGTTCCCCAAAGGTTTTCCTCCTGTTAACAAAGTGGCTCCTTCATTCTTCCCATGGTCAATGTAGGTTAGGATTTTATTATACTGCTGCTTATCAACCTGCAATTTTGAGTAAATTTGTTACAAGGCATTTACTGATTAAAGCATGATCTTGGATCTTAACTGTCAACTGTTTAGTTACCTGGGGTCCTTGACGAACATTTGGATCAAAAGGATCCCCAACTACCCAAGCTTTTGCCTTCTCCTCTAACTTCTTCACAAGTTCATCATAAATCCCTTCTTGAACAAAAACTCGAGAACTCGCCACGCAAATTTCTCCCTGAAAATATGAATTGATAACACACACAGTTAGTGCTGCTAACATAATCTAACCAAGTGATTATAAAGGAAGTGTTAATTTAAAAGTTGAACTAAAATTAGGAACTTAACCTTGTTGTAAAGGACTCCCAAGAGAGCAAGGTCAGCAGCCATATCTATATCAGCATCATCAAAAATCACAAGGGGTGACTTGCCTCCTAGTTCAAGTGAAACTTGTTTTAGGTTGCTCTTTGCTGCAGCCTCCATTACTAAACGCCCTACCTCCGTGGAACCAGTAAAACTGACCTGAAAATGTCAAGACCAAGTATCAAACATCACAGATTACAGCAAGCCATTCAAGTATGGTCCTCGAATGTTCTAAGAAAATGTTCTTATAAACGAAAGATGTTTACTTTGTCAATGTCCATGTGATAGCTGATGGCAGCCCCAGCAGTCTGTCCAAATCCAGTTATGACATTGAGCACTCCATCAGGAACACCAGCCTTCATAAAGAAATTTACAAGCCAAAGTTAGCACCAAGAAGCCACATTAGCAATAATACCAATATAAATTAATACACGCACATAGAGCTAGCATGGCTAACTGAGCTTACCAACTTAGCCAGGTGAGCATAATACAGAGCAGAGAGAGGTGTTTGCTCAGCAGGTTTGATGACCATAGTGCACCCGGCGGCTAAGGAAGGGCTGACCTTTGCAAAGAACAGGGTGCTTGGGAAATTCCATGGGATGATGTGCCCCACAACACCAATGGGTTCAAGCAACGTATAGGCTTGAAGCTCGCGTGACATTTTGAGCACATCTCCATGGATTTTGTCGGCTGCACCCGCGTAGTAGCGTAGATTTTCTGCTACCTGAGGTATGTCTACGGCCTTGCCAAAGTTGAACAACCTCCCAGCATCAACGGTATCCAAGATAGCTAGTTCTTCTACATGTTGGTCAATTAAGTTCGCAAATTTCATCATTATCCTTCCCCTCTCCTGAACATTGTTCAAGGCAGTATAGTACTTAGCGCTTTGATAGCACACTGATTAATACGGATTTTACAGTAAATTTCTCACTAATCAATCATTTACAATCAGACAATTGCGTGTGAGTCATCTAAATTCTCAAAGGCAAAGTAGGTTTTTCTTTTAGCTACAGTACTGAACTGACCGCTTCTACATGCCCATCCCTTTCATTCCTGAATTTTTTTGCATTTGGAGTTGTCTGGGTACTAATTGTATGGTAATACATAATTTAAACTTTCGTTCAGAAAAGGACGTTTACTTTTTCCTTTTGTATTTTTCTTTTTTTAAATCCTTTTTTTCTTTTTCTTTTATTAACGAAAATGACATTTGAGTTTGAACTTTATTATTCATAAATGCTGTTAAACATTTGTCAACGAAACCTTCTTATCAAATAGAAGTACACTGAATATATCTTTGAAAATGATTTTATTCAAATTATAAGATCTAAAAAATTAAGGCAGCGTCGTATAACGCAAGCAACTATGACGATTTTTATATTTAAACAAAAATAAAATAAAAGGAGTTGTTATTGGCACTTAAAAAATATAGGAGTTGTTATCTAAAAATATCATTATGGATTCATGCACTAAGAGAAGTCTCATGTTCGAACCCTTATGGCATCTTAGTTGTGTGTATATAAGGCATCTTAAAATGAATATATATATATCATCATGCGCAATAGGGTTGCACAATGAATTTTTTAGAGTGCAAATAATAATTTTTTAAATTAAAAAAATATCATTTTACTTTTAGTCGTGGCCGCCTGCCTTCTTACTATGATATTAAAAGACTTTTTTCTTCTTACGTTATCTTAATATATATATCTAATAGAATTAAATTATCACCCAAAGTCTAACCTGTCCACATTAACTAAATGCATTTCAGAATTTATTGAAGATTGTGAGGGTATGGTGCCAGCCCCAATTGGATATAAAATAATGAGATATTTATATTCATTTTAAGCACTAATGATATAGATAAACCCTACAAATCATTTAATTTTTATAAACAAATTCAAAATAAACTCAAAAAAATGACAATTGACCCTATTGAATTTAGGTGCCAGCCCCAATTGGATATAAAATAATGAGATATTTATATTCATTTTAAGCACTAATGATATAGATAACCCCTACAAATCATTTAATTTTTATAAACAAATTCAAAATAAACTCAAAAAAATGACAATTGGCCCTATTGAATTTAATTTTGATTATTAAATTACTTTGACGCCCTATTGATTGTTTTGGTTTTTTTTTATGAGATTTTGAGGTTGGGCTTGTTTTAAGAAATCAATGAGAATTTTGTAATTTATAAGAAGTTAAAAGCCTATTTCTTATGTTATAAATGAGCTTTGGGTGTATTTCTAAAGTCAATTTCATATAGAGTATTTTTATAATTTGGACCTCTACATTGAGTATAATTGTGAATCTCCCAAAAAGAAATTCATCCCTATGACAAAAGTGAGTTGGCTGCTATCACATTTCATATTCTTGTACTAAAATTGAACCAAAAAAAAATCATGTGTACCTCCTCCAGACATTATTTGAGGAAGATGACAAGCTCTCGTGACCCAACGAATTAATATATATATATAAAACACTCAATAATGCTCTGAAAATTTTACTTTTACCCAATAGACCAAATTCTCTAAAAATAGTTTTTTTTAAAATTTTTTTAAGAACAATAATGTAGTTAAAATTAGAAAAATCTGTAATGAGCAATTAATTGATTTGGTGAAAGATTTTATTTTTTGTTTTTAAATATTGATAATTTAAAAAAATAAAAAAATAAGGACAAGGCAAGGTCTTGAACGGTCGAATAAGGTTAAAATAGTAAGGGTCAAAAGAAAAAGGTTGAGAGTAAAAGACACATACAGCGCCAGGAAAGCGGGGCCAAGGGCCATTGTCGAACGCAGCGCGAGCAGCCTTCACAGCCAAATCAACATCTTCCTTATCTCCTTCCGCAATTCTAGCTATCACCTCCCCTGTCCTTGGATCTATCGTCTCAAATGTTTTCCCTTTTCAAGTTATTTGGGTTCACAAAATCATAAGAAACAAACCCATTGTTTGTGTTAGCATATTAGTAAATGATCAGAAAGTTTTAACAATTTGATCAGTGACTGTGATCGACTTGAGCACGTGGGTTGCTCATATCTTCATACATATGGCATGCACTAGTTGAAAACAGAGATGGGTTTCTTGGTTGTTGCTTGAAAAATGGCCAAGATTGAATTTTGAGAGTTTTGGATCAGACAAACATGTTCTTGGTTGTTTCTTGAAAAATGGCCAAGATTGAATTTTAAGAGTTTTGGATCAGACAAACATGCAGATACGACCAAGTTGGCAAATGAATAAAAGGGTTTTGGTTGGAGAATGAAAGCATGGAAGAAGAGAAAAGGACAGAAAAAACAACTGGACGTGAAAAGCTATGGCTTATTTATTTATTAGCTTCGTTGTGAGAAATGAAAAATGATGATGAGAAGAAAACCTGAAATGGAGTCAACGAACTCTCCATTGATGAACAGCTTGGTGAACTTTATTGTGGGTGTCTTCACAAAAGACTCGGAAGCTGAGCTGCCGTTACAATCACTTCCCATCTCTCTCTTCTTTCCTTGTCTGAAATTGAGTTAGTTTCCTTGTATACTTCTGCTGTATTTAATACTAAAAAGCGAAGGAGACAAATGTAATTTTGATTTGATGTGAGGGTCAATGTCAACTATGAGATCTCAAAACGTAAGCAATCTCCGCATTGAACGAAGGGTGGTCCATGTATGAGGAGCAACCCGCGTATGCTCTCATTAGCACCCACAAGTGGTAAACAGAGGTTATTTATCATATTGATCGACTGGATGTAAAAAGTAAAAATAAGCATGTCTTGTGTAAAAAAGCTAATAAGGAATTCATGCACGTGAATGACTCTCAGTCGTTGATGCATTGTGATGCGTTGTGACTGATGCACAACAATTGTGATGCATTGTGATGCGTTGTGACTGATGCACAACAATTGTTATGAGGACCTGAGAAAGATGGCAACTTAGGTTTGGGGAAGAGAAAAGAAAGAGTTGATTGTCCAATGGAAAACTACAGTTCCCTTACGACAACACAAACTAAATGGACGGGCATGGCAAAAGAATCAATTGGGACAAAAAATAAGAAAGAAGAATAGACACGGCATACTGAATGATTTGAATAATAGACACGGTCAGAAGCTCAAAAACAAACGCGAAATGAAGGGTTCCTTTCTTTAATTTAGTTGCTGTCTGAGCTTGGAATTTTAAGCAAAGGAGGCAAGGCAAAAGGGGACACCATGTTTTCTGCTTTTTATGTCTATTCTATGCTATGGTCTAGTAGCTCCTTTAATTTGACAAATACCTAGTTTTAATGTATTAAGGCAAAAGAACATTGCTTTTTTCCTTGCACATTTTCAATGGGGAAGTGATGAGAAAATGGCAAAAGAATGACACAACACAAAAAAGTAAATCCGAGTTGGTATTTTCCAGCTTTCTTTGTAGACTAGTTGTAGTTCGTTCTAAGAACAAACTCTTATATTTATTTTTTATTTTTGGGTGGGCGATAATTTATGTATGAAACTGAAGGCCGAGATTTGTCAAAAAATAGAGAGCATAGAGATCAATGGCGTGAAGCACCTGTTGTCAATTTGGCCACGTGAGTCCTTTGACCTCCCTCCCCATTGTTTTTCTACACTAAAACAGAGCCTTCTGGTGGATACGTAAACGAGCGCTCTACCACTGAACCAAAAAAACCTTGGATTGATCATTGAAGTAAACCATGGAAAGAAATGGATAAATTGTTTTTTTTTATGTTTTCTTGAACCTTTGATTTGGAAAGTTAATAATCAAAGTAATGAAAACAATTGTGATTACGCAACTCTCTAAAGTCAAGTAAGGCTAGCAAATACAAGAGGGAACAAAGCTCCATCTAAGCTATGTCTGCTTCTAACTATTGTGGATATGAAGGAGGTTGGTAGGATGGTGGAGCAGCATTTGCGTAATCATATGGCCCATAGCTGGTCTGGCCACCATATGCACCGCTGCTTCGGAACCCGCCAGCAGCCATGTTGTCCCCCGAGAGGGAGTAGTGTTGTGGTGGAAGAGCAGCAGGGCTTTGAGCATGGGGCACTCCATATGTGGATCCATATGAGGCTGCGGTTGGACCATCGTACACACTTTGGCTTGGGTAATTGTATGGACCGGAATATCGTGTTGCAGGGCTATGTTGTGGAGGAGGATTTGGGTTCCTCCTGTTAAAGGAGGGGTAAGCATTGGAAAACTTGGCAGCTTTGGCAGGGCGGAAAGAAGATGATCCAACCCCTCGGCCACCACCTCCACCTCCACCACCAACCCCACCCCCGTAGGCTCGCTTATTATTATTATTATGAGACCTGCTGGAAGCTGCTGAACTCTTTTTCCTTTCTGTCTTGGCTTTCTCCAGATGAGTAGCCCGCTTTCTTAAGCTATCAAGAGAAAACTCTGATTCAAGCTTGTGGTCTTCTACACATTTGATGATTGCTTTGATGGAATTCAACTCCAATGTGCTCGACTCCTCCTGTAAGATGAACTTAAATTAAGAAATCTCACAAATGGGTGCAGAAAACTCATCGGATCACAGAATGAAAACAGAACTCCATTGGGAAACTAAGATAAAAGGTGGAGTTACACATACAGTTGCAGCCAAACTATTATTGCCATTCCTCAATATGGTCGTAGCATTCTTTTTGGAGTTCCTGAGATATGACTTGAGCAGAGAAACAGGAGGAAACCTCTCGGTCAATCCAGTCTCAGAAGCAAAATATACAGCCTCTATCTCCTTGCCATTCTTCACTAACTCATCAATCACATCTGTACAAATCAGAAATTATTTGAATCAAATGTAAGCGAATAATAATGCTGTCTCTCTGAGCAGAAATTTCTGAAAAGGCACCACTTCATCATCATAAGTTAGTATTTCAGCTATCTGCTTCAGCTCTAAGTACCCAGATATTACACTCTGAGGGACCCATGATTTGCAAATCAATTAGCCTAGTTAGATTTCAAAAAAGTAAAGAATCTTAATACCATCTACTACCAAATACGCTACAACGTTAGCCATACAAGTTTTGTGTTTCTACATGATTAATTCAACCTAAGATCTCATTGGTACCAAGAAACAGAGAGACTGACATCAACCCTAACCTGTGTGCACAGCACACTGAACTTGAACACTTCTGGGAGCCGTTCAAAAATAAAACTTACGCCAACAATCTAGGATAAGGTTTTATGCCTGGTTATGTTAGCAGGATACAAAATGCAAGCACAAATACCAAATACAAAACACAAAATACAAGTTTCTCAACAAATGGTAGCATATAGTTTCTTGCACAGTGACACTTGCAATATAAAATACCAGGATCCCATTGCTACCAATGTTACTAATCATATGTATGTATATCTATATATTCATGAACCAATTAAAGGTTCTACAGTAACAAATTGCCACAAAGAACATATTTTTTATCTCCAACTGAAGCAACAACAAAATTGATCTGATTAAACAACCACATACCTCCCATTTTCTCTCCAAATTCTAATGCCCCTGCGAGCTTTGCCATATCCCTCCTCGCCGCATGTTCCATTACCAACTTCCTAAAGAACTCCTCACTGAACTTTTCTTTTAATCCAAACCCAATCACCATTTGCACAAACATCACGGCCTCCGCTGCCCCTAATGTCCCGCCTCCACCGTTCGAATCCCCCACCATCTGCGCCTTCCACGTGTCCGCAATCCGCGCTGCTCTCTCCACCATGCTCCGGGAAAATTCCGGCCCCTTCTCGCCGGAATTGGACCTACCCTCCGGAAACAGAGCCTGAACCAACAGCCCGCACGCCCACCTCTTATCGGTAACCCCAATTTTCTTGGCTTTAGAATCCAAAAACCCTTCCAATGCATCAAGTACCAGCTTTGGTGGGTCCACCGCCTCGGCTATTGCCTGTACAAGCTCGGTCCTAAGCGATATCGACTCTTTTCGCTTGGAAACGATGAATTTCAGCAATCCCTGCGGATCCATTTTCCTGGAAAACGATTTCAGGGTTTCGGGCAAATCCAAATTCCCGGAAATGCTTTTCTCGAACTCGGCCAAGGCCGCAGCTTTCTGCTCCTCGATTCGGGCGGCGGCAGCGGACTCGCGCTCCGGGATGGAGGTCTCCCGGAGGTCGAGGGATTCTAAGGTTTCGCGGGAACGGGATTCGAGGGATTGGATTTTGGATTCTAGGGATTGGGATTTCTGGGAAAGGGAGTCTTCGAGGGAATTGAAGTGTTTGGATAGGGTTGTGAATAGCTTCGTGGATGTGGAGAGAATGGCCTTTTGCGCCTCTAGGTCGTCGAAGAACTTCTGGACCCGGTCCGTAGTGACCACCAGTTCGGTCCCCATTGGTGTATGATTTTGAAACGACGGTGTTCAGAAGTCACTGATTTGGGAATTTGAAAACCCTAAACCCTATTGCAGAAGAAGAGAAAGACGACGACCAGTCAGTCAGTCTGTATACTGATAATTTCCAGTTCTGGTGAATGAATTTTCTATGATCCTTTCACGTTGGGAGATGAACGGGGTGTCGTTTAACCTTAATTAGTAAACCAAATATGTCCTCAACTGAAAAAGACAACAGACGTTGGGGGTCAATTCGTGAATAAGGATAAATACATAATGTCGTTTGTATCCTACTACATTACAAAAGCAACAAGGGTATTACTGGTTTTTCAGAGATGTCAGCCAAGAGGAATAGATAGCTAAACATGTTTGACAATTGGGGGCTGCTTTCTTTTTCAGTGTTGAATTGAACATCACCATGAGCATCTTAAGCATCTGTAAATTCATGATATTAATGATGGTAGAGCATAATTTTCCAGCAAGTGCAAGCAAACTCTTTAGCTGTCGAATTCATAAGCTTATCATCTCACAACAATTTGCAAGTAAATCTTTAACTTGATCCTAAAATTTCTGCAAGATTCATGATATGAAAGTAAAGGAGTTTGGAACAAGAGGTTTATTCAGAATTTTCATTTTCTCTTCTGCTTGAATGGTTACAAAACTAAACTAAACAAAACTCATCATCTTCGTCGACCCTTTTAGGCTGAGATCTTATAGAACAGAAATAGAATCTGATGAACTTGTGTGTTTTCTAAGAACCAAACTAAGTGGTAACAACAACAACAACACAAAATAGATGAAGAGGCTATGATGAGACAGAGCTCAAGAACATTACTATATACACCGCATATCGATATCCAGTATCAATAAAGAATCATAGGTATAACTACAAGTTTTATTTGTGCTCTCCTAAACCATCGATTCTTTCTTTAAAAAGATGTTAGAAGGATCTGCAAAACGCATGGAGAATGAGCGAGATAGGTCATCATATTCATCAAGTTCGTCCAATGCGCACCCTTGATCAAAATTTTGAGAGTAAGTGTAAGGATCATATGAGACCTGCACAGGGGCTGGAGACTCGAAAATCTTCCTCTTTTCCTTCTTCAACTTCACCCACAAAACTTTCCACCTCAACTTGTTTGATCTGCTACCAGAATCAGACCGTAATCTCATACGGTCGATCTCATCGTAGTGCCTCCCACCCAAGTGGATGGTTTTGCTGCTGCCTGAACTGCACCAGTTTCTTATATCCATTGCAGCAGCCACAAATAAACCAATATCCAGTGTCTTGTCAAAGTCGAGCTAACTGAGAGTGGATGTTGGGTGCATAAATATAGAGAACATGATGTTGGCTAAAAGTATGAGAATGAGAGAAGTGGTTGGCTGGCTCTTTGGGACTCGCATGGTCCAACTTGGGTAGCTAATAGAAAAGCTGATAGCTCACTTTGCTGGAAGGTGCAAAGACTAAAAGTTTCATCTAGAAACGTGTCTATAAAATTGTTAGTCCAGATTATGTGGATCCTAATCATCCCATCATCATATGTCACGTGATGCACGTGACTACCTTGAAGGGTGCATGCAAATACCATGTGGGTTTGCTTTAACTATATATAAACAAGGGATTTATAGAGTTTTGACCAGGGGCCTCTTTTTCATTTGTTTAATACCGACCAAAAGCCTCTGCCTCTATCCATCACAATGTCTCGCTAAAATAGGAAGCGAAAACCTTTCGGCTGCCATTGCCAATTGTCAATGCAATGAGAAAAAGCGTGGACCAAGCTACACCGTATGGTAACGTAAATGGCTCAGAACGCACATGAACGTCACATTAGTTGAAACTTGAACCCGTGAGGGGAAAGGAAACGAACAAACTCCAAATCCAAATCTAAGGAAATGGATCAATTAACTTTTTCATTTCTTTTTCTAATAAATATTACAATTGATAGTGATAGTACAATTCCTTTACACACAACTACTTTGGGGTGACACTCTGTTGTCCCAAACAGCATAATGTCTTCCAGTGTTAAAACTTGAGCTTTCCCTAAGAGATTATGTTTTTTCTTCAAATTAGAGAATGCATCCCTCTAAAACCAATACAACATAGGAAGAGTGCAAACTTCTCCCTTTTTTTAAGTACCTTTAAAAGCATGAATGCTGGTACATTTTAGCTCCTCTATTCATTTGTTCTCAATGAAAGCATCTATACATGAAAGCATTTGCCTTCTCTACATGGTACAGAACTTTCTGTATCGTCCACGAAGGCTAGACAAAAGGTGCATTCAGCCATTGGCCATGAAGTTCATAACGCCACCTTGGTGTCCCTGTAGAATTCCATGTTACAGAAAAATTGTGAGCTTAAATAGTTCAGGTATACTGCAATTGAGATAATACTTAAGGCTGAATGGAGGTGACTTGAGTCCAAGGTTTGTTTGAAAGAAGTCTACCAAATTAAGCCAAATCTAAAAGATTCCTATCATACCTGCATTTAACATCATGGTGCAGTTTTTTCACCGAACCTCAACCTCAAGATACTGTTCTCCCATAGCAAATAGATGCAATATAGAGATTCTTTAACCATTTGTCCTGCCACAGCCAAAATAATAGAAACAGTATCAGTAATTACTAATAATCAAGAAATTTACCACATTCTGAATTTACCAAACTAATACCAATGCATATTAAAAAAATAATAATAATTCTATTAGAAGGCAACTCCCAGTTTCCCCCAATTAAATTTATCTCAGCAATTAAAATGTACCTTTACTTGGTAAGTTGGAAAAACCGATGTCCGTAGAGTTTCTTGAGCCACATCTGGTGATTTCTTCTTGGGTACACTAAGTATGAATGCAGCTTGATCCTCTGTAGCAGCAGTTGAGGTAATCCGATATCCAGTCTCCCATCTTCTATGGATGCCTTCACTAGGATATAGGAAATCGAGTTCAACAACCTAGCAAGACAGCACATAGGAGAATTATTTTCTGCAGTGTTCCACCTGACATAGAACATTACAACAGGGGTTCAAGACTGGTATACCTGACTAGAATAACCTGCATTTCGAGACATGACAATGCCCCATCTGCTACCTGCAGTAGTCATGGAGGTAACAGAAAAACCTTCTTTCCACTTCTTATTAATCCATTTGAAAGGGAACACATCACTGACTTTGTAGGATTGCTGAGTATAAGGTACACCTTTAATGGGAAGAGGGGAATGGAAAAATTAGCTATAAAAAAAGAGCAGCTCAATCAAGTCAGAATGATAATTTGATGAGATATATCATCCTGCTGATCAAAGGTGAAGGTTGGGGAAAAAGAAAAGCGACTCCAGTGCAGAAACCAAGCCCCTAATCATCCTATCTTATACTTATTAATTACAAAATTAATTACCATCAAGGACCAGACCCCTATGGCCACACTGCCACAGACAACAGGAAGCTCTGTCAACTAGTTTCACATACCTTGGGACATTACCACCAGGGCATTTCCATTGCATGTACCAGCAAGTGAAGTGATATAGTAGTTCTTGTCCCACTGTTCCATTATCCACTCCTGGTGAACAGTCAGAAATAATGAACTTGCTGGAACACAAGATAATTAAATGTCAAAGTTAAAGTTCATGAAAGTAGTTTCAAGATTAGCTACCTTGTGCAAGAAAACAGATGACCGTTCATAAACCTGGGACGTGAAGCCCGTCCCTGCATCCATGACAATAGCCCACATATTCGCAGATGAAGCAACACAGCTAACATACAACCCATCTTCCTTTCCTTTATCAATGTGCTGGTCTAGTCTTGAATCCATAACATTGTAGTGATACCTGCACAAAATTCTTCTTGTTACTTGTTGATACAGGAACAAGACTGTAAAACTAACAATAGAGTGAAACAGGAAAAAAAATAAGATTGAAGGAAAACCCGGAAAGTGAATTAGGATGGTGATTAGTGAGACATTGTCTAGGCTTTTCTACCTCGTATGTGCACAATAGAGTAAGATAACCTTAAAGGGGATTGTGTTTGCTTGTATTACATCAACTACCTTTGCTTCATTGATGATCTGGTATTGTAGACCGATATCCACTGAGTAGCTGGACTACCTAATCGAACTTTTTTCTTAGGTTGCTCACCATCTACCAATTCAACAGGCACTCTTCCTCTTTTTTGACCCACCTATATTGCATAACGGTCAATAAAAAATATTGAAATGACCACAAACTTCAAAAATTCATCAACAAATTAAAACACAAGCAACCACCTTTGCAGCTCCATCAGTTCTGATAGGTCGCAGAGAGGCAATTGCACCAATACTGTTATCAAAAAGGGAAATAAGCTTTAAGTAATTTGGTTCTTCATCGAATTTCATATTGGTCACCATTTCAAGAAACTGTTGAAAAGGAGGAGGACACAAGCCACATAGTGTCTCAGCAGAAGTTGCCATCTTCTTCTTGCAAACAAGAAATCCTTTGTTCTCTCCCTGCAGCGCAACAGCCCAGCCAAGCATTTATAAACAGAAAACATTAGGCAATCTAGTTGGAACAGTAATGCATAGTGGAATACCAAAATGAACTTACATTGTAGCCTTGCCAGGGAAGTTTTCCTCTAAGGAGAAATATTAGGGTATATGCTAACGATTCGAGGTCATCCCTTCGGCTTCCTGTCCTGCCTAAATGAGCATGTACGCTTGCATAACGTACAGTTCCCCTTTTAAAAATATCAGATATATTAGGCCACTTCAGATCCCA